CACACACACACACACACAATGGATAAATACAAGAAAACACACAGAATAAATCCAGGCCAAACCACCCTCTCATAATACTTACAGTATTCATTAATTAAATAAATAATTATTATCATAATAGACAAACACTGAAAAACACTGATAAAGAAAGAACTTGATTGACAAGAAAGTGCCCAATGTTATGGGACAAGACGATACTTCAGTTCAGTGACTTCCTGTACTTTTTTTTCAGGGTTATAACTAATTGTCTGTAACCACAAACTATCTCTTATATCATTCAAAATTCAGACCGCCCAACGTGGGGCTCGAACCCACGACCCTGAAGATTAAGAGTCTCTATGCCTCTACCGACTGAGCTAGCCGGGCTAAAAGCTAAAGATTTTGAGTAGATATCAAACAGATATCATAGCCACCAAGTCATCAATTTCATATATGATATTTTTATTCAACTGCAGCGTTGCACTCATTGTAGAAGTAAATTTAAAACCAATTTGACGCAGAGAGAGCACAATGACAGAACATCAATCTCACCATCTGTGAAAATCCTTGTTATGACCAGAAATGACATTTTGTTAAACCAAAAGAGATTACTCAGTATAACAACATGACAAAACCACAAGCTTTTATCATAAAGTACATTTAAAGGAAACCTTGGTGTATACACAGAAACAAAAGCAGATCTCGTCAAGTTTGAGGGATGAAACCTGGAAATATAAAGCTTGTCAGAAGTGGGATTTGAACCCACGCCTCCATTTGGAGACCAGAAGTCCCATTGTTTAGGAAGGAGTTAACTCTTGAGTCTGGCGCCTTAGACCGCTCGGCCATCCTGACAACTGAGATACAAAGGCTCTAGAGAAATATTGATGGGAACAGTGTGGCATAAATATATCCTTATTTAATCACAAATAAACACATATATTAAGATTTGCTTTAAAAGCCCAGAAATCTATTTCCATTTCATTGAACTTATCACTTACTGAAATGTTGCCAAAGCAGATCATTAAATTATTTTTTTCCGTTTTTTAACACATTATTTTTAAAATGAATCTAAATTCATGTGTTAAACTTGACAAAATGTGACACCAAACTGGGCATTATTAAGGGTTGCAGCTGCCAACCCAAGTTACCTCTAGATCTGCCCCTGCAACAGACACCCAAATTTCATTGGTTAAGCTAAATGCAAACACAAATGATACATTTCCAGATTTATAGGAGACTTTACAGGAAACAACAAAGATTAAGCTATTTATTAATGTTGGCTTTCAAAGCAGTGTCACATTGCAATTACCACATATATATGTATGTATGTATGTATGTATGTATGTATATGTATAATATACATAATATGGCATTGCCTTTTTGAGGGGCACTCTGAAACACAGAGGCAGCTCTTACTCAAGGACAGTGGAAGATAAGCGACTGTACGACTTTTCCAAAAACTCCTGCACTTTTTTACACAGCATCAACTGCACAAATAGATTACTTTGTAATGTGAATGTCATATATCTACTGTAGCCTAAAAATCTGTGGCCCAACGTGGGGCTTGAACCCACTACCCTGAAAATTAATTGAAATGGATATAAAACATCTCATTCTAATGAAAACACAATTCTTACTTTTGGGTGATTATACACTGATGAAAACATACTTGTGAATATTACAGTTCTGCCAATAGAGCCTCCTAAATGTTACACATTGGACCTTTAAACTTTAGCCATCATGTAGTTTATGAAATACTTTTCTCTTGGTGGTTTTAATGAGAAGCAGTTTTGTTATAATGACCAATCTCTCTTGTTTTATAACACATAATTGCTGGTCCTACCACGGATTTTCATATATTATAAAATGTTGTTTTCTCATTGTGATACTCAATTGCAAGATTAAACCAAAAAAAGGATTCTTTTTTCTTTTTTTTAAATAGCAAGATTTAATGATGAGACTATCCTTAAGAGAGCAAATGAATGAAACATGACAGAATGTCTAATAAGGAATAATGCAACATTTTGAAATGTCACTTAAGGTAATTCTCTCAGAGCAGACAACATCCAACATAGTGGTTTAATATATAAATAACTGGGTTGCAGTACAGTATCAACACTGTTCTTGTTATAACGAGGCATTTCTATCTCGTTAGACAAGGTGTTTATATATTGTCATACCATTAACTGTTTGCTTGGTATAAGGAGACGGTTGTCTTCTTGTAACGTTATCCTGCTATAATAATGTATACGTGTGCTGTAGTAGTTTTATAGTTGGAAATGTGCATCTATATATCACTAAAATCTCTTTTAAAAACACAAAGGAAGGCAGAGGGGACAGTATAAAAGATTCAGTAGGTAAGTTTTAGTAGGTACGATCAATGTTAAAATGCACTTTAATGAATGTGGCCTTAACGTTGAGATTTCTTTTGCAGATAGAGATGAAAATTGAGGTACGGTCGTCAAGGTAGTTGATTCATGTTTCTTCCAAATCTGACACAAAGAAATGTTGGGTTAGGTACTTAAGTTAGCTGTATACCAGTGGTTTATTAAGCCCTGCTCTGGTGATACAAAAACCTGCAGGAAATAAAGCTGTGTCAGGAGTGGGATTTGAACCCACGCCTCCATTGGGAGACCAGAAGTCCCTTTGAAAGGAAGGAGTGATCCCTTGAGTCTGGCGCCTTTAGACCACTCGGCATCCTGACAAGCCAGCCTATATTCACCAAAGTGAGTGTCTGTCTGTCTGTCTACTATCTATCTATCTATCTATCCTATCTATCTATCTTCTATCTATCCTATCTATCTAATCTATCTATCTATCTATCTATCTATCTATCTATCTATCGGATGGATTGGCTGTTGAATGGATGGACTGGTGGAAAGACAGATAGGTGATGGATGGATGGATGGATGGATGAGGAGGGGGTTCCACGTCTTTGGATCCTCCCACGCAGAAATAATCAACAAAGCCCTGGAGCCGGCCAGCTAGACCTAAATATGTGTGGTTGGGCGTCTGTTTGGTGTGTGTGTGTGTGTGTGCCGTGGGGTTTTCTGGCTACACGCCAAGACCAGCTCCCACCAGGAGAGAGATCAAAGACTCTCTCTCTTTTTCTCTCTATCTCTATCGACCTCTCTCGCTCATATTTCTCACACTCCTTCCCTCGCTATCTCTCTCTCTCTCTCTCGAAAACACTCGTTATCGCTTTCTTGATTTCTTCGACATTCTCTCACTTTTTTTCCTTCACCTGAGAGAGATGAGAACAGTTCCCTATGCAAAACAGAAAAGAAAGGAAATGGAGCAAAGCGACAAAAAGAAGAGGTGAAAGAAAATAGAAAAATGCTGGTCGCGCTGATGTTTAGAAAAGACACACACACACACACACACACACACACAGACAGGCAAAACTACTGACCTGTTCTTCAAAGCCCTTTTGGTTGCCAGGTTGTCATGGGAGCAAATGTTCTGGCAGGTGTGTGTGTGTGTGTGTGTGTGTGTGTGTGCACAAGAAAGAATGTTTCAGACTGTTCTTGTTTCCCTTTTAAACCGGACAAACCTCATGACAACACTTACTTTTTGGGCGCACAGTTTAGATTGAATTAGCCCATTAAAGAATACTCTGAAAGTCTGCTGTTTCAAATTAAAAGCTCCACTGTGATTGAATACAAGTCTCTTGGAAAAATCCATTCTCTTATCTCTGCCATTTCAAAATAAGGCACTGTTGTAAATAGACAAATCTAAGGCATCCAATTGCTTCATCATTGGTTCACTGTTTGGTCAGATCATTATGTCCTAATCAAGACAATGTTCATTGTCATTTGCTGCGCTCACAGTAGAGTCACAAGTTGGTTTTCCAGAGGTCATTGTGTACTGCCGAAGTGCTCTTGAGTAGAACAATCAACCATTTCTCACTGTAATGCCAATTCCTCTGTTTATTTATTATTATTTATTAATTTTGCTGGACATTTGAGAGACATTAAAAAATGAATAATACAAAAAATCTGATCACTAGAGAAAGAAATATCCTGACTCATAGTTTGGGTCAAGCTCCAAAAACACTGCATCCTACATTTCCCATCATGCAGTCCAAACTTCGCTGTCTAGAAAACTCAACACACCCAGTTTGCCACACAGGTTGTCTGTTCATTTATAAATGTATACTCTGAGATGTCCCTGATGACAACCTCAGAGATGACTTTTTCAGACTTCAAAAAGCTCCCTGCAGAGCCACAGAAAACATTACACTAGATTTTTCACAGGCTAATTTGTACTCAAATGAACTAATCTTGATGTTGAAAATAAGTGGAATGCCACTTTAATGCAAAAGCCTGTATCTCTAAGACTGAGAGGAGAAGAATTTCTCCCTTGAGTGGCTAAAATTCCACACCAATGTCTACTTTGAGGACCTAATTCAACGAAAATGTATAAATGTTGGATTTTATGGCTGAGTCGCTGAAGTGCTGGGGACGCTGCATGTCATCTGCTATCTAATGAAGACATGAAATGACCCAATATAACATAAAAAATGGCAGGTATGGTTTGGTAATCAAGGACGAAACCATAAAAGCACACGTTTATCTTTTCATACCAAAACTGTTGGTCCCCGGTTAGGAGGAAGGTCACGAAGTCAGGTTGGATAACAACATCTACCATATCACTGCACCTCCTCTCCTTCGTGACACTCACAGTAATCGCCAACACTCTTGAACGTTCTCCTGGATGCTGTTCGCGCTGCGTTGTTACTGATTTGGGAATTGAAGCTCATTTGCACTCTGTGTATGTCTGTATTCTGCATAACAACATCAGCTAAATGTCTAAAAATGTAAATGTAATTGTGGAGATAATGTTATTTTTCTATTGAGACTCACAGAATGCTGCACTACGTGAGCCGTTGCTGTTTGTCATTAAACCAACTCACAGGGGCTCCTTCGCAAACAAGGACTAAACTTTCTTTCCGTCTGTATCTCGTTTTCCTCTATCCATCTTTTTCCGTGCCAGCAGCAGCTTGGTCATATTTTCTCTATTTATTTCTGTCATTTTTCATATGCAAAGAGGCAACTTAATCCCACTCCCACAATCCCAATCAGTCCATTTTTTGTGACACCTTCACTTCTTTTCCTTTCTTCTCTCTTTCTTGCCTCTTTAGCTCTGTCATTCAGCTCTCTTTTTCTCTGCATCCCCTTTTCTCCCAGCATCCCGTCGCTCCAGTTTTCTCTCCACCATCTTTCCCTTCCTACCCCTCTTTTCCATCCCTCTCTGCCGTGTTTATTTCCCTCACACACACATACCCTCTCTCTCTCTCTCTCTAGCAGTAGTCATTCTACTTATAGCCTCGCCATAAATCAACCTGTCATTCTCCGTCATGCTCGCTGGATCTCACTGGGGCTCGTGGCGCACACACACACACACACACACTCACACAGAGCAAAGGGATGGCGATGTGAGCCCACACATACACAAGCTCAAAGACAGACACACAAACGCTGACAAATATAAAGACTTGAAAACATCACACACACTCAAACAAAATCAAACGCACACATACAGTACAAGGGTATAGACTGTACTAACAAAAATGCAAACTACCGGCCCACACACACACACACACACACACACGGCACACACACACACACACACACACACACACACACACAAACTCTTGTGTACGATCTAAAGATACTCAACATTGATTGAGAGGGAGGGTGAATGATTAAGGGAAACAGAGATGTAGGCAAGATAACAGGAAGATGCCCACCTGTCCCTGTACCCCCCACACACACACCTACAC